ATCGGCCCGATAGTTCGGGCTTGTAAAATATTACGAAGCGGGTAAGTGGTTAACACGCATATGGGGTGATATTGAAAGTATGGTTTTAACTTTCTAGAGGTGTTGATCAATGCAAGTGCCAATTTCTCTAAGTGTGGATATCTAGTTTCTGCTTCTCCTAAGGTTCGACTTACATAATAAACGGGAAATTGCGTACCTTGCTCTTCTCGAACTAGGACACCACTTACCGTGATTTCCTATACTGCCAAGTATAAGTAAAGTTTCTCATCTGCCTTTGGAGTGTGAAGTAGTGGTGGGCTCGATAAGTATCACTTTAGTTCTTTTAATGCTTGTTGGCGTTCCGGGGTCCAGGTGAAATCATTCTTCTTTTTGAGTAGAGAGAAAAATCTGTGGCTTCGATCCGACGACCTCGAGATGAATCGGCTAAATACAGCTACCCGTCCAGTCAGCCTCTGCACGGCTTTTACACTGTCCACAGCGGTGATGTCCTCAATGGCCTTTATTTTATCGGGGTTTATCTCGATCCCCCGATTCAACACCATGAAGTCCAGGAATTTGCCCGACCCGACCCCGAAGCACATTTCTCGGGGTTGAGCTTCATGTTATATTTCCTCAAAATATTGAACGTTTTCTGCAAATGAGCCAAATGGTCCTCTGCGCGCAGGGACTTAACTAGCATGTCATCAATATAAACTTCCATTGACTTACCTATTTGTTATTTGAACATTTTGTTTACTAGGCGTTAGTAAGTAGCTCATGCATTTTTTAGCCCGAAGGGCATTACATTATAACAATATGTTCCATAGTTGGTGATAAATGAAGTCATTTCCTGGTCTTCAGGGTTCATTTGAATTTGATTGTACCCGGAATAGGCATCGAGAAAGGTAAGGATCTCATAGCCAGTCGTGGCGTCGATCACGCGATCGATATTAGGCAGTGGAAAAGAATCTTTGGGGCAAGCCTTATTTAAATCTTTATAATCTACACACATTCTAAGTTTTCTCCCTTTTTTAGGGACTACGACTACTTTGGCCAGCCATTCGGGATATTTCACCTCCCAAATGGACCCTATTTAGAGAAGTTTAGTTACCTCGTCCTTTATAAATGCGTGCTTTACCTCGGACTGGGGCCTTCTCTTTTGTTTCACCGGTTTGAACCTGGGGTCAAGGCTTAGTCGATGCGTTGTTATCTCCGGTGGGATCTCTGTCATGTCTAAATGGGACCAAGCAAAACAATCTATGTTATCAATAAGAAATTGAATAAGCTTTTTCCTGAGTTCGGGGGTTAATCTCGTTCCCAAGTATACCTTTCGCTCGGGCAGGTACTCGATCAATATAACCTGTTCCAGCTCTTCGACCGTTGATTTGGTGGCGTCCGAATCTTCGGGAACAATAAAAGTTTGAGGAGTTAGAAAATCCTCTTCTTCTTCTATCCCCTGCTTCCCTGATTCGGTCGAGGCTGGTGGATGTGATTACTATTTGGCTTCCTGCTTACCTTTGATGATCGACTTTTCCGAGGTTGATAGCATTGATATCGGTGTTACCTCATCGACTGCAAACATTTCCTTTGCAGCATGCTGCTCCCCGGATACTTTTTTTACACCGTTCGACGTCGGAAATTTCATCATTTGGTCGAGAGTCGAGGGGACTGCCCTCATGTTGTGGATCCAAGGTCTTCCGAGTAGGGCATTGTACCTCATGTTGCCCTCGATCACGTGGAACTTGGTATCTTGAATGGTTCCAGCCACGTTCACCGGTAGAATAATCTCCCCTTTAGTTATTTCACTAGCCATATTGAAGTCGTTTAAGACCTGAGCTGCGGGCACGATATGATCTTTTAGGCCGAGCTTCTCCACGACCCTCGATCGGATGATATTCACCAAGCTACCTAGATCCACTAAAACACGCTTAACTTGAAATTTATTTAATAATATAGAAATTACCAGAGCGTCGTTGTCTGGCTGAGAAATGCCTTCTGCTTATTCGTCGTTGAATGATAAGGAGCCTTCGGGCACATAATCTCAGGTTCGTTTTTCCCTAGTGATTGATACCTTAGTGTTTGAATATGGGTCCCTATGGAATTTCTACCCCACCGACGATCATATGAATGACATGTTGGGGTTCCTCCTGTTCATTTTTCCTGTTGGCGTCCCTTTCCCTGAAATGATTCTTAGCTTGATCGCTGAGGAACTCTCGAAGGTGGCCCTCATTGAATAGACGGGCTACCTCCTAACCTTAGTTGCCTGCAATCCTCGGTCTTGTGGCCATGCATGCCATGATATTGCACATCAGATTTGGGTTTCTTAGGGAAGGATCGGTCTGTATGGGTCTGGGCCACCTAGTATCTTTGATCCTTCCGATTGCCGATACAATGCCCGATGCGTCGATGCTAAAGTTATATTTCGATAACCGAGGTGCCTCTATGGGATCGGCATGCTTATCAAAACCACTTTTCCTCATAAGTCCCCGAGAATTCTGTCCTCGATCACTTCTTCGATCGTTCCGGGCAGGATTGCATCCTGAACCATTGTTCCTTCGATCTGCGATATATGGTTGATATCGTTCTCTGTTCGACCTTGGCTCCGTGTCGACGTCCCTCGGGGTTTTAACTGCCGACCTGTTTGGATGTACTGAATCGGAAGGGGCTCATAATTGGTCGTCCTCAACCCTGATCTTCAATTGATATCGATTGTGCACATCTGCCCAAGTTACAGCTGGATACTCGACCAAATTTTGTTTCAACTGTCGTGATGCTATCGAACTCTGCTCATTCAACCCTTGGGTGAAAGCTTGAACAGCCCAATCATCTGTGACCGGTGGCAACTCCATGCGTTCCATTTGAAATCGGGATACGAACTCCCTCAGCATTTCGTTATCCCTTTGTCTTATCTTGAAAAGGTCCGATTTTCTTGTTGCGACCTTTATGGCCCCGGCGTGTGCCTTCACGAAAGAATCTGCTAACATGGCAAATGAGTCGATGGAATTTGGTGGCAGGTTGTGATACCAAATCATTACTCCCTTTGATAAAGTTTCCCCAAATTTTTTCAACAAAACGCACTCAATCTCATCATCTTCTAAGTCATTTCCTTTATTCCACACGTGTACGAAGTGATGTGTTCATTAGGATTGGTGGTCTCATTGTATTTAGGTATATCCGGCATACGGAACTTCTTAGGAATGGGATTCGGAGCCGCACTCTGAGGAAAAGGCTTCTGCACGAACTTTTTCGAATCCAAACCCTTTAGGATCGGGGGTGCCCCAGTATCTGATCAACTCGGGAGTTATATGTTTCCACTTTTTTATCATTATCTTCGATTTTCTTCTCTCCTGACTCAATTCTTTTGGTGAGCTCCTCGAGCATTTTCATTATTGCAGGATCAGTCCCTGATTCGTTACCATTCGACCTTTCTGGCACTGGCTCGGTATGACGAGTGATTTCTGGCTCGAACCCACTTGGAGTCCTATGTTGATTTTGCAACTGAGCGATAGCGGCCTGTTGAGCCTGTAGCATCTCGAATATCACTTGGAGACTTACTCTCCGTCTCCTCTGCCCTGTGTACCTTGACCACCAGATCGGCCTTCCCCGCGTACACTCCCTTCGGGGTCCACGCCTAGGTCCGCATTTAGAGAACCGTGCGAACTGACATCGACTGGAATGGCAACCGGTGCTCCCCCGAGATTAGCCGGTGGCACCCCGTCTCCTGGAGCAATTACATTGTCGTTTTCCCCGTGAAATCCGAGACCATCATCCATGTATGGGTGCGTTTTGTGAGTTTGACATGTTTTAACCTGAGAGCAAAAAATACTTGATAAGAACAAGCGTGAAATAACGTGTGTTATCAGAATCAGTACTGAACAATCACTATTATCCTTAGCCCCAAGGTGGGCGCCAACTGTTTACCCTAAAATTCGAGTAAAAATTAAACTTATATTGTGGTTTTAAGGATATGTGATTTAATCCAATACCAATTGATAAAGAAGAAATTAAATAGATAAATTAGAGAATAAAATAAATCAAACCAGTATGCAAGCCAAATCTCGACCTCGACCTATGGTAGTCTCGAGGTGTGATAATAGAAATAACAAATGATAAAACAACTCTGATGAAAAGTAAGTGAAATAGCAAGAAAGTAATGAGCGTATATTTTCTTATCAATGAACAATGATCCTTACAAATGAATGTGATCCCTGTTAATATAATAGGAGAGTCCTAAATAAGGTACACTTATAATAATTGTAGGAAATCATATTTGACAACTGATTAACCGCCGGGGATCAACCCATTCCGAAATTCACGCCATGATCTTCCGCCCGTTGCGGGTATCTCGCTCTTTTCGTTACTGAACTATACCGGCATCATCTCGAAGTATGCCCTCTTCTGACCTCGGTAAGTGATATCGTTGATCTTGGAAAGGAACATCGACCCCGAACTCGACATCCTGGCCTTCCGACGTGGTCTCACTTTTTCCATCAAAGGATGAAATCGGGTAACCCCGATTTCCACCGTATACACAGGTTAGTTTAATGACGTTAAGCACTGCACCTTTACGAGCCATAGTACCTCATTATGTTTCTAATCTGGTGAATGTTACTATTACTAAATTCGCACAATCTACAATTGGAGGCTTCTCATGACAACGACATGTGGATTGTCGCTAATTGAAGTGCATAGAAAATTAGAAATGAAGCTCAAACAATTGGCTCCTCAAATGCAATAGCTCCCATCAGAGGCCATTTAAAGTTGTATGATGCATGTGTGTATCAAATCTCAGACGCCTAAAAGATGCTATATTAGATACGCAAAGGACTATGATGGTATTGACGATTGATCATCTACACAAAATTCATTTCGTAGGTTGTAGCATTCTCAGCCTCTACAAAAACTATTGATTTTTAATAATAATTTATTTATTTATTTACGGTATACAACATTAATTAAGTGATGAACTATTGAGATAAACTAAGCCATGGATTTTAGTAGTTGGTGGCAACTTCTGGTCATAATGAAGGAGATGAAAACTCAAATATCCATTTATGAAGTAGAGAGAAATACAATAGATAGAAGTAGCTTAATTATATTTATAAGTAGAGCAATTAAACCCCAATAACGTAAGTCTAATTAATCTTCATAGATGCAGCACTCATCGGTTTCAGGATTATCTTGACAGAAGGATTCAAGTGGGTCTTGATTGAGCTGAAGCTTGATCCGCAAATGGGCCTTAGCCTGGCTGACTTCTTCAACCTCATCCCACGCCACCTTGCACTCGTCGGATCTGGCATCTTCCCCGCACACCTCCTTAGCTTCCTTCACTTTCTTCTCTATCATTTCCGTCAGCTGTTTTTCTCTCATCTGTGTTCCTTTATACTTCGGCGCTCCTGATCCGCCGCTGCCGCCAGAGCTCATCGTCACCTTTTGCAAACCTTTCCTCGTCGGAGCCCATGATCTCAGCCCAGAACCACCGGAAATAATAGGACATGATACCTTCAGGTTCAGTGCCATTAGGAGTGGAAAGGAAGAGAAAGCTGAGGTTTGAGATTGGCAGATCTAAGAAGTGTCCTTTTTTGTTTCTTGATTTATGTAAAAAAGAAAAGAAAAAAATGTGCAGATTTCTTGTGAAACTAGAATGCTGTATCTCTATCAACCGTTATTTCTTTAAGCCACGTCGTCATATCAAACATCATTATCTAGTACGACTCAACTATCATATAAAATGACATCATTTCTGTGTTTGAAGATAAGGTTCCCACTTTAACTGCTTTTAAGTTTGGGGCCCACGGTAACTGTTCTTCCAGCTTTGGCTTTTCCTCTCTCCTTTTCTTCATTCTTTCACTTTCAAATGTAATCCCTATATGACTCATTTGCAACTAATTCTCGTGATTAACAAATAAAAATTAATTATGTCTAATTTTCAAACAAGTATTATATTATTTAATCTCCTAAAAATATCAAAACCAACATATTTTGATTGTACAACCATACCATTTCCACGAATCAATTTGTCCCAATAGTTGTTTTTTGCAATCTATTTCGGCCAATAAATATTTCAGTCCATCTATTTTACCATCTCCTAGTACTAGCATATTTGGGCGCATAGCTCTATTGGTTTTGTGTGCAACTAATTGTACGCAAATATTTTCCTTTTTATGTTAAAATCGAGCTATTGTAAACATATTTCATCTCCAGAAAATCAATATTGTGATTTGTTAGTGGACTCTTTACAAAATCATTGATTTTGAGTAAATTTTAGTTATGAACAATCCAAATGACTTTATAAATCCATATTCAACATATTTTGATTTTAAGTAAGCTCAAACTAATAAATCCATATTCGGCAGCCCCTTACATCTCAACAAAGCCTAATTTAATAAACTGGTTAAGTCTAAACAAAAGTATCATATGGCGCAATCCCTTCACTTTTTATTAGATGCTTGCTTCATTAACAGATTTTTGGAATTCCCGACAGGTATGATTAATAAAGTCATGGAGCTAATATCTTATGAAAAAAGCATGTTCATCAATCAATCAATACATGAAAGAGCTAATATCTTATTTATAAGTCTTAAAAAAATTGTTTTATGAAAAAAGCATGTTTGTTTTCTCATCGTTTTCTAGTTGGTGAAATAAAAATGGAACACAAAATTCGACAACTTCTGTTTAATTTTGCTTCCTAATATTTATGCAAAAGTTAGGTGTACCTTGGTAAGGTTAAGGGTCGTCTGGTATGATGAATAAGCAAAAAATAATTTAAGAATAAAAATTTAGTACTACCTTATTTTTATTGGTTATTAATCCTGAGATAACTTATCCCAGAATTAAAAATAGTATCAGAATAAATTGTAGTTGTCAGATGCTATAATAGTAATCACAAAATAAGTTATCACATGTTAAAGCAGTAAAATTGACAATTCCAGAATTAATACAACATATCAAAAAGTCAATAAAAAATAATATAATGATAACTAATCTCAGCATAACTAATCTCAGTATAACTAATCATAGTATAACTAATTCCAGCATAACCTGTCTTCAGACCAAGCTAACCCCTAAAAGTTTAGTGTTGAATTTAAAAAGGTAGAGGATGAGCGGATATTGGAGTAAATTCCTTGGATACTTATGAAAATATCCTACCAAAGTCAGTTTTATTTTTTTAGTACAACAAAGTCACAATTTTGACTCAAAAAATAAATTCCATTTTTATATAACATGTCATATCATGCTTAAAACCTATTTTTAAATAATAAAACTCATTAAATGAATGAACCTTATGTATGGGTCAAAATTAGGTCGAGTTTAGTGAATGCAAACGGACGAGCTGAGGCCAAGGTCGAAGCCAAGCACGGCCCAGTGGCGAGGAGTCGCCTTGAGAGAGAGGCCGGTGCCAAGGTCGAGTAGAGAACAAACAACAGCAACGGTTAGAATATTCTTAGGATTATGAATAGGAATATTCCATTGGATATTCCCCCAATTATACTTTTTTAGGGTTTTCTAGGAATGTCCTTTATAAATAGGAAGAGATAGGGAACAAAAAAGGGGGCTTCTGGACTTTTCTGATAAGAATATCTTGTAAAGAGTTGACTATCAAGAATATACAAAAAGATTGTCTTGTCTCCTTTGTTTGATTCCATTACTAAACATTCCTCTTTTATTCACAAGATCCAAGAACACTTTGTCCATTTCCATAGTCTGTTGCCACACGCTATAGTCAGAAGAATGAATCAACCAACTCATTCAACATTTAGGTGACAAATTCCTTCTTATTACATTTAATGTCATATGTCATATTTATTGCATATTTTCATTCTCATATTTATTGATAATCATTGAGCATTAACTTGGTATTCATTGACTTGAACACGGTCTCGTACCATCAAAATTATCGAACTTCAGATCTAGGATTTATTATATTTAACTAGGATTCACCCTTTATCTACTTATTAAATTGGTTTAACTAAAAAGGGCCTAAAACTTTTTGGTCAAACAATATGGCGCCGTCTGTGGGGAGTTCCTAGTTAAAAAGCTTAGTTTCTTCTAGATCTAAAAAAAAAGCTTTCTTTTTCTGTTTGCACAAGCTAACAATGGCAGGAAAGGGAGAGGAAAGACTGAAAGTAGTGATGGGTATCACTACTAACCTCCTAGGCACCATCAACGAGGTGGACGGACAAGACGAGGAGAATGTGACGCCGAGCGCCTCACCCAGGCAAACTGACTCACCTCCTCCTCATGGGAGTGTAACCGCTTCACATGAGAAGGGAGCCTCTACGTCCACGATGGAGGAAGCACCGCCCGGAGTGAAAAAGTTATTGGAGGCGTGGCTGACAAGTACCCTAAACAGTATACTCGACAAACCCGCTCAAGGGGCGAGTAGGAACACCGCACAAGTTGTCACCCCAACAACCATCAACGAGCAACTCGCTCCTCCCCCAACAGGTAACACTCACACCGTTGTTGATGCAGGTAACGACGCCCTCGCAACTATTCTGAGAAAAATGGAAGAAATGGAGAATGAGAATAAAGCACTTCGCGAACAAATGAGGGAGCACCAAGAAAGAGTTGATAAGATACCAGGCACCCCGAAACTTCTGCCAAAACGGGACGTTGGCCAGTTCGTGGAACAGCCATACCGCGAGAAGGCAGCCCCACATGCCATACCCAAAAACTTAAAATTGCCACCATATTTGAAAATATACGACGGCACAACGGACCCTAAAGACCATATCATTCATTATGTCATGGCGGTAAAAGGCAATGACCTCTCGAAAGAGCACGTACCATCGGTGCTGCTGAAGAAGTTTGGCGAAACCCTAACAGGGGGAGCCTTAACATGGTACTCACAATTACCAACACGTTCCATAATGGCGTTCGAGGAAATGGCCGACAAGTTCATCACCGCCCATGTTGGGGCCAAGAAAGCAGAAGCCGGAGTGAATGACATATTCTCCATAAAACAATCGCCTGGCGAATGATTCAAGGACTTCCTTGCCCGGTTCAATAGAGTAAGAATGAGCCTGCCAAACGTGTCAGAGGGGATGCTGGTAGCGGCCTTTCAAAACGGGTTAAACAGGAACGGGTCGAGGGCGACCAGAAAATTATTAAGCAGACTCATGAAATACCCTCCCACCACCTGGGAAGAAATTCACAATGCTTATTGTGCCGAGGTGAGAGCAGACGAAGACGACCTCAACGGTCCAACTCAACGGTTAATGACAGTCCAAATGGAATCAAGGAAAGATCGTCGGAATGATAGTCGAAGAGATCACGCAGGTCCACGCCTCAATCGAGAAAGGCACCAACCGTACATCAGAGCGGCCATCCCACTACCTCCCCTCCAAGCCGAAGGGGCGTACAGACTACAGACGGGGACTCACCGAAACGAAAGAGGTATGCCTCCACTTTTATCTGCTCACAATTTTTGTGTTTCTCCTTCAGAAATAGTTTACGCCCTAGAGAAGCTCGGTCCCAAGGTGAAATGGCCACAAAAGATGAAGTCAGACCCAAAATCCAGAAAGTCAAATGCCCTCTACGAGTTCCATCAGGAACGGGGCCACAAGATCGAGGATTGCATAGCCCTACGACAAGAAGTAGTGAACATGCTCCACCAAGGACATTTAAGGGAGCTGATGAGCGACCGAGGGAAAGCCAATTTCGCCCGTGGACGATAACAACATCAAAGCCCTCCAAAGCCACCCTACCCTGCCCTCACCATCCAAATGATCATCGGCGGAGGCGACGAAGCAATAATAAACCATGTGAAGTTCACCACCACACACAAATTGAAGCGGTCGATCACCCATGAACGGTATGATGACCTCAAAGACAATATTATCTTCGATAAGTCAGATACCCACGGTTTGACCTTTCCTCATTTCGACGTTCTTATCATTACTTTACGAATCTCAGATACTGATGTAAAAAGAATCATGGTAGACGACGGGAGCGGCGCGTGTATTATCCACCCCAGAGTTCTCACACAAATGAGACTCGAGGATAAGATAGTAACACACTGCATAACACTAACAGGTTTTAACGATGCAGTTGAACGAACCTCCGAGAGATAATATTGCCCCTTCTGGCCGGGGCGTCACCCTGGAAACAACATTCCATGTCATGAACCAAGACACAACCTACACCACCATTATAGGGCGACTCTGGATACACACCATGAGGGCCATCCCGTCCAGTTTATATCAGGTCATCAAGTTCCCTAACCCATGGGGAATATTCAGCATCCACGGTATACAACGCACAGCTTAAGAATGCTACCGCTTTGCCCAAGACTGCACATACACGCAATAGTTAAGAGGGGAGGGCTCAGGAGCGTAGCAATTACCGAAGTCGGGACCCAAGTCTGACGAACAAACAGACGTCGTCAAAGACCCCGACGTCGTGGAAGCCACAGGGTCAACAATGGAAGACCTCGATCCCATCCAGCTGGACAAAAGCGACCACAACAAAAAATCCTACATCGACCATAACCTCACAGAACCAGGTAAATTCCATAAATTTTTAACTGACAACGCCGACCTGTTTGCTTTCTCCCATGCAGATATGCTAGGTATCCCGAAAGACATTGCAACGCACAAGCTGAATGTCGATCCACTCTACCCACCGGTACGGTAAATCAGAAGAAAGTTCAATGCTGCAATCAACGAGGCCGTCCGCGAAGAGGTAGAAAAA